CCACCCTCGGGCCCCCCTGCCAGGACCGGCCAGTGCCGCCCGGTCTCCCCCACACCCTCACCACGCGGCCGGCGCTTAACCAGGGAGCGGGCGGTGCGCTGGTCCCCCTGCCGGTCCCTTGGCAAGGTCATGCCCGGCTGGCGCCGTCTGCAGAAAGGGAGATGGAGGCCTGCTGTCCCTGTCCCTGTCCCTGTCACAGGGAGCACCTCGGTCGAGGCCTCACATGACAGAGGCGGAAGCCAGAGGGGCCGGGAGCCCCTGCCCCGGGGTGCCTGCTGCGTGCCCTGGCCCTGATCCCCCCTCCTGGGAGCAGAGTCGGGGACAGGGGCAGGGGGACAGCGATATGGGGCACACCTCGCCTGCACCCCTGCTGACTCCGCCTGAGACGGTCGCAGGTGTGGGGGCAGACGGGCCCTCCCCGGGGTCTCTCCAGGGTCTGAGAGCTGGGTCTGAAACCCACAGCGGAGGGCTGCCTCTCCGCCTCCCACGGTCCCCGCCGTGCCCACGGTCCCCACGGTCCCTGCCAGAAGGCCGGGGCTCTGGCCCCAGGGCAGTCTCTGCCAGGCCCTCCTCCCTCTCCACAGTCACCCGTAGCCCTGACACCTGCCCTGCCCTCCCCCACCCCAAGGCCTCATGTCACAGTCCTAGGTACCCTGGGCCAGGCTCAGGGGCCGAGGTACCAGCCCTGCCAGCCAGCGTCCCCGGGCAGGGCAGAAGGCAGGGCAGCGGGCGGGCCCGGGCGCCTCCCAGTTCCCCATGGCACTCAGGGTAGGGCAGCACAGCAAAGCCCAGAGCGAGGCCGGCCGGGAGGTGACCGAGCAGAAAGGGATGTGGCAGTGTCATCAGAGGGGCCAGGTGGCTGCGTGTGAGGCCGGCACCCACAGACAGACAGCCCAGATGAGCCCTGGCTTTGCCCTTCCCACGCCTGGTGGCAGGCCCGGCCTCACGGGGCCTTCCTGACACAGGCACTTGCGTGGGCTCAGGTACGTTCCAGGGCTCGGCCCGATGCTAGCTCAGTCCGTCCCCGCCTGATCCCTGTCCCCCACTCGGCCTGTCCCGCCTGATCCCCAGCCTGACTCGGCCCCATCCTAGCCTGATCTCTGATCCCAGGCTCTGCCCCCATTCTACCCAGATCCCTGGTCCCGGTCTCAGCCCCTTCCTACCCGGGGCCCCAGTCTGAGGCTCTGTCCCCACCCTCGCCTGATCCCTGACCCCAGGCTCAGGCCCGCTGTCCCCATCCTGGGTCCTGAGCCCACGATGAGCACTGTCACCACACCGAGACCTGCCCGGGCTGGCTGTGTCCTAGCCGGGTGCTGCCCCCGGACAGCCCTGTTCTGAGGCTGCTGAGTCCCAGCCCCGACTTTTTTTCTGGCTGAGAGAGGTCAGCCTGGTGTGGACCAAGCTGCCCTACAGCGGCCGGCTACCGCGGGTTCCCTGAGACGTCAAATGCATTCCGGTGGAGCAAGCGTCAGGGCCGAGGGAGACCCCCGCTGAGGGAGACCCCAGGAGCTCCCTGACGCCCGGGCCTAACCGTGCAGGGCCGAGGCTGTGCCTGGAAGAGCAGTCTGGGCACGCAGCGTGCTGGGAGCTACCCATGCCACGCCCGCCGCGCCCCAGAGGAGCCCACGCAGCGGGTGACTGATCCTGCACGGCCGGCCGCGGTTTGCGCCCTGGCCCCGGACGCAGCTTGAAAAACACGCCAGGCGTGTGTACCAGCGTGCCCCAGATCCCGACAGGACGGAGAGAGGGAGGAGGAAGGACAGCCATGACCACGCCCGCCGCGTGCTTTCCCTCCCTTACCGTTTCTGCCTGGCCCGGGCACACGCCCACTGGCAAATGCACAAAGAGGCGAGCACGGAGTTCATGAATGGGACGGAGGGACCCCAGGACAAGGCGTTCCATGCGGAAAAGCAAGCACGAGTGTCCACAGCACGCCACCTCCCGTGTGCAAAGAGGGCAACGGGAGGGCCAGCAGACGGCACAAGGGCTACGCCACTGCGCCGACCGTGGTTCAAGACCCGGACCCAGCGGCTTCAAACGCACGCTGGGCGCGTGTGTGTGCATGCCCAAGATGCCAAGAGGAGAATGGAGGAGAAGGGATTGCGGCATGGCCATCCTCCGGGGGGGGTGATTTCTCGCTTTCTGTCTCTCTGGTGAGCGCACATACCTTATAGCAAAAATCTGTCAAAACAAAATTAAAAGAAAAGCACACATCAATGGGCCAGAAAACGGTATGATGTTACGTCACTGGACTCCTATGTAGTTGGCCCTGGTTTGAGTCCCGGACCCGGTAGCTTAAAACTCATGCCAGGTGCGTGTGCGTGTGTGCCCAAAATCCCAAGAGGAGAGTGGACAAGGGATGGGGGTGCGACCATCCCCCCAGGGGGGATTTCTCACGCTCTGTCTCTCTGGTGAGCACATGCACCCTACAGCGATCAGCTCTCTAAAACAAAAAGAGGGGCGAGCAGGTGGCGTGGGGGGTAAAGTGCTGGACTCCCACGTGGCTGACCGTGCTCCAATCCTGGACCTGGTGGCTTGCTTTCTCACTTCCTCTCTCTCTCTGTCTTTCTCTCTGGTCAAATTAAAAAGAGAAAGAATGAATAAATAAAATTAAAGAAATAACTCTTTTAAAAAGGAAAAGAAAGAGAAAAGAAAATCACACCAGGCGCGTGTACGTGCCCCAAATCCCAAGAGGAGAAGGGATTGTGAGTGGCCACCCCGGACGAGTTCTCACTTCCCCTCCCTGTCTCTCCCGAGCCAGAGCACTCGCCCTACGGCAAAAAAACTAATAAAGAGAGCGCGTAACCTCACAGAAAAGAAAGGAAGCGCCTCGTGTCACTCTGACTGCGATACTTGTTCTTTTCTATTGTTTATTTTTTAGAAGATTTATTGATTTTATTTATTTTTAAAGTTTTAAATACATTTTGTTTATTTTTTAGAAGATTTATTGATTTTATTTATTTTTAAATTTTAAAATACATTGACGCCCCCCAGCGCAGCCAAGCGCCTCTCCCTGCCTCTCCCTGCCTCTCTGGCCTGGGATGGCCCGGAGGCCGAAAACAAGGTTGAAGAACTTGCAACTTAAGAAGATGACAGTTACCAGCCCTGCATTACCTCAGGGGAAAACAAGAACTACTCTGCCATTCTTAAGGAAGCCAGATACCCAAGGACAACTCACACTGCAGACCCCCACAACACCATTCCTGGTAACTACAAGATGACTGCTGTGCCGCATCAGCTGATAATCATCCCTGCGTACCAGAACTGCTTTCCTGAAACTGCACTCCCTGGAGACTCACCTACACTTGTGGATCTGCAGGAGACCCTCCCTTAATCCAACCCTGAGTGGAGTTTATGCTCCCTATTGCCAAAAACTTTATGAGCTTCTTTTATGAAATAAACAAATACATAAACTTTAAAAAGATGACAAGTGTTGGTAGAGATGTTAAGAAACTAGAACCCTTGTACATTGGTAGGACTACAGAAATGAAACAGCCAACATGAAAATCACCATAAAAATTCTTCATAAAATTAATAATAGAACTACTATATGAGCCAGCACGCCCATGTTCATTGCAGCACTGCTCATAATAGCCAAGATGTGGAAACAACTTAAATGTTCATCAGCAGATGCACGGATAAATAAAATGTGGTACATACAAACAAGAGAATATTACTCAGCCTGAAAAAGGAGGAAATCCTGTAATATGGGACATTCATATAGACATTATGCAAAATGAAATGAGGTAGTTAAAGGACAAATCTGCATGACTTCACTTACAGGAAGTATTGAACACAGTCAAACTCACAGAAGTAGAGAGAAGAATCTTGGTTGCCAGAGGTGGGAGGAGGGGGAAGTGAAAAGTTGCTTATCAATGCACGTAATGTTTCAATTATACAAGATGAGTAAATTCTCGAGAGCTGTTACAATATTGCCCCTATAATTAACAATAACACTTTAAAAAAATAAAAAAGGCCCAGTTTCCAATGTGAATGGAGTTGTGGGCCAGGATTTACAGCTATTGTTATTGGCAGTCAGGACATTCTACGGCACACTTTATTAAACATCCTCCCACATTGCTCCATACTCGGAACACCTTTAATGCTTTCTTACATAGCATTAGTTATTTAATATGACTGTGATTTAATGAGTTTAAATGCCTTTAAATAATATTTAAATGCCTTTTCAAACAAATAAATCAGATTATATATCCGAATAAATGTCATTGCCTTCAAAATAGTAACTAAGGGGCCAGCAGGTAGGCATGGTGGTTAAAGGCGCTGAGCTCCCACAAGCCCAACCGTGGTTCAAGTCCTGGATCTGGTGACTTTCTTTCTCACTTTCCTTCTGTCTCTCTTTCTCTGTTTCTTTCTGGCCAAATTGGAAAATAATAATAGTAAATAAAGTTAAAATAATTCTTCAAAAAAAAGTTTTAAATACATTTATTTATTTATTTGGAGAGGTTTTTGCTATAGGGTACGTGCACTCACCAGAGAGACAGAGAGACAGACAGAAAGTGAGAAATCACCCCCAGGGGAGATGGCCACGCCGCAATCCCTTCTCCTCCATTCTCCTCTCGGGATCTTGGGCACGCACGCACACGCGCCCGGTGTGAGTTTAAGCCACCAGGTTCGGGCCGCGAACTGACTACGTGGGAGTCCAGCGACACAGCCATTATGCCAACTGCTGATCCCTCTTCTTAATTTCTAAATTTGCTGTAGGTCGCGCTCACCAGAGACACAGAGACAGACTCGTGGAGAACATGGGGTCCCTCGGACGGCCAGCACAGCTTTTCCGTGAGGGTAAGGGGGTGACGTCTCACTTTCCCTCCCTCTGTCTCTCTCTGGACAGCGCAGGTACCCTACGGCAAAATAAAAAATAAAATAAAATAAAATGAAAGGATCAGCAAACGTGTTGGACGGAGTCAGAACCTGGGCCTGCAGCTCGCAGGCCCGCCGCCTTCAAATGACTGCTTTTCTCAGCGCCGGAGGGGATCGGCCGGGGGCTGCACACGGTCGTGGGGAACATATGATGGAAAACCAGGCATGGCCGTCAAAGGCTTTTGCACCAAAATAAACAAGACCTTTAATTCCATTTTTCTGCTGAAGTCCCCTCCCACGGGGAGCTGCCCTGCGGCTGGGGGGAGGCTCCAGCTCCATCTGCATCCTCGTCCAATTCGGGGCGAGCCTGGACCAGCCCGGGAGGAGGCCGGCGCCCCCTGCTGGCTCGCGGGGTCCTGCACAGCTCGGCGCCGGGACAAGTGCTTGGGGAAGACCCTTCTCCCTCCTGCCGCGTGTGGCCATTCTCACCGCAGCGGGGATCAGCAAGACCCAGGCAACATGGCCCCTGAGAAATCACAGGGCCCCAGGATGTCGTTTCATCGATGTCCCCCGCGGGAGGAGAAAGAATAAATTACCCAGAACGCTGTGGGGGTGCAGCGTGGTCTGGGAGGGGCCGGGAGGTCTGTGGGCCCCCGCTTCCGCCCTCCGCAGACCGGGGCAGCCCCCTGGGAGCCTGCTGGCTCCTCCGTGGCTGGGCCAGGTCCCCCGAGGGGGACTTCCTCCGTCTGCCCACGAGGGGGCGCCAAAGTCTCCCATTCAGGGGCTGACCCCCAGGGTCCAGGACCAAGCCCTCTCCTCCATGGGGCTGATCCCCCTGGACCCAGAACCCCACGCCCAAGTCCACTCCTGACGGCGACTCGTCCCATCGGGGCTGATCCCCCAGGGTCCAGGACCCCACGCCCAAGTCCACTGCTGGCGGCCACTCCTCCCATCGGGGCAGGTCCCTGAGGATCCGGGACCCCAGTCCACGAGGTGATGTGCCCGGAGGTGGGACTCCCCAGCGACCCCCACCCATTCCCTGAGTCAAGGACGGTGAGCGTGGGGGGCTTTCTGGGTGAGAAAGAGAGACGAGAAGGGGCTGCACCTGCCGGGCCCCAGTTCACCGGCACGCGGCCGCCCCGCCGCCCGCCCGCAGGTGCGGCCCAGGGGAGGCCTGGGTCACAGGAGGTTGATCTCGTCCAGGTAGCGGGCGAGCACCGAGTCCCGCACGTCCTTGAAGACCTTGCGGATGTTCTGCGTGTCCGTGGCGCAGGTGTAGTGGCTGAAGAGGCGGCGAGAGCGCGGGCCCTTCCTGCCGCCCTCGGGGCCGTCCACGCAGCCGGAGTACATCCCCGTGTACATGTCCAGGATGAACCTCTTGGCTGCCTCCGCGTCCTGCTTGGGGCCTGGGGAAAGGGCGGGGTCAGGGTACCCTGCGGGGCGCCCCAGGGACCTGCGTCCTGATGGACAGAACCTCTCCCATCTCCGTCCTCATGGCTGGTCACATGACTCAGGCCCAGCCAATAGGAGCAGCAAGGCTTGGTTCACGTGTCACATGACCTGAAACGGACCAATGAGACTGGGCTCTGGGACTTGGGGCAGAGCTAGGTTAAAGAGAGCCCCTTGGGGCCAGCAGGTGGTGGTGGTTGAGGTGCTGGACTCCCACATAGTCGACCACAGTTTGAGTCCCAGACCTGGCGGCTGACACTCAGTGCCGGGCGCGTGTGCACGCGTGCCCCAAATCCTCAGAGGTTAATGGAGGAGGGCTTGCGCATGACCATCCCCCCCGGGGGGTGATTTCTCGCTCTCTTTCTGTCTCTCTGTGTCTCTCCAACAAGTGCATGCACCCTATAGCAAACATCTCTCAAAAGAAAGAGAGAAAGAAAAACAGGCACCGGCAGATGGCGTAATGGCCGTGTCACTGGACTCCCATGTGGCTGACTGCCGATCAGCTCCTGGGCCGGAGGGCTGAAACTCACACAGGGTGCATGGGCCCGCGTGGCCAAAACCCCACGAGAAGAGGAAAGGGATTGAGGAGTGGCCATCCCCCCTGGGGGGGTGATTCCTCGCTTTCTGTCTCTCTGTCTCTCTGGCAAGTGCATGCACCCTATAGCAAAAATCTTTAAAAAAAAAAAAGAAAGAAAGAAAGAAAAAAGAAACCCTCTCTCGCTTGGGCTTGGAGTTGGGTCAGGACGGAATCCTGCAATGGCAGAGACAGACCCCCTGTGAAGCCCTTGCGGATGTTCTGCGTGTCCGTGGCGCAGGTGTAGTGGCTGAAGAGGCGGCGAGAGCGCGGGCCCTTCCTGCCGCCCTCGGGGCCGTCCACGCAGCCGGAGTACATCCCCGTGTACATGTCCAGGATGAACCTCTTGGCTGCCTCCGCGTCCTGCTTGGGGCCTGGGGAAAGGGCGGGGTCAGGGTACCCTGCGGGGCGCCCCAGGGACCTGCGTCCTGATGGACAGAACCTCTCCCATCTTCGTCCTCATGGCTGGTCACATGACTCAGGCCCAGCCAATAGGAGCAGCAAGGCTTGGTTCACGTGTCACATGACCTGAAACGGACCAATGAGACTGGGCTCTGGGACTTGGGGCAGAGCTAGGTTAAAGAGAGCCCCTTGGGGCCAGCAGGTGGTGGTGGTTGAGGTGCTGGACTCCCACATAGTCGACCACAGTTTGAGTCCCAGACCTGGCGGCTGACACTCAGTGCCGGGCGCGTGTGCACGCGTGCCCCAAATCCTCAGAGGTTAATGGAGGAGGGCTTGCGCATGACCATCCCCCCCGGGGGGTGATTTCTCGCTCTCTTTCTGTCTCTCTGTGTCTCTCCAACAAGTGCATGCACCCTATAGCAAACATCTCTCAAAAGAAAGAGAGAAAGAAAAACAGGCACCGGCAGATGGCGTAATGGCCGTGTCACTGGACTCCCATGTGGCTGACTGCCGATCAGCTCCTGGGCCGGAGGGCTGAAACTCACACAGGGTGCATGGGCCCGCGTGGCCAAAACCCCACGAGAAGAGGAAAGGGATTGAGGAGTGGCCATCCCCCCTGGGGGGGTGATTCCTCGCTTTCTGTCTCTCTGTCTCTCTGGCAAGTGCATGCACCCTATAGCAAAAATCTTTAAAAAAAAAAAAGAAAGAAAGAAAGAAAAAAGAAACCCTCTCTCGCTTGGGCTTGGAGTTGGGTCAGGACGGAATCCTGCAATGGCAGAGACAGACCCCCTGGGGCTATACAGATGAGAAGCGGAAGCTAAAGATGCGGACGAGCGTCCCCAGAGTCAACCCGGGCAGCCACCCTGGGGAGGCATGCCAGGGAGCTCGAGACAGGCGTGAGGGCAGGACTTAGGGCGTCCAGCCCCGAGACCTGTCACTCACTATGGGAAATGGAATTAAAGTGTGCGCTGACTCGGGTGGAGCAGCTGACGCCCGGGCCTAGACCCCCATCGTACACACTGCGTGCAGTTCCCGAAGGCCCCCAGTAGACCGTAGCTTTGGAATCGCACGCTTCAGTGTGAGAGTCCTACAGAAAGGGAGACTGAGACTAGGAGAGCTAGTCAGCGTTTCTCTTTTCTTTCTTTCTTATTTCTTTAATTTAATAATAAAATTATTATTATTATTTGTTCTCTCTCTTTTTTTGAGATAGGTTTTTGCTATAGGCCGTGTGCGCTCGCCAGAAAGACAGAGAGAGACAGAGACAGAAAGGGAGAAATCACCCCCAGGGGGGATGGATGGCCATGCCACAATCCCTTCTCCTCCATTCTCCTCTGGGGATCTTGGGCACGCACGCACACGCACCCGGTGTGAGTTTAAGCCACCGGGTCCAGGACACGAACCGCGGTCGACTACATGGGAGTGCAGTGACGTAGTCATTATGCCAACTGCTGGTTCCTATTTATTATTATTATTTTAATTTGACCAGAGAGAAACAGCAAGAGAAAGCAAGCTGCTCGGTCCAGGACTCGAACCACGGTCGGCCATGTTGAAGTTCAGTGCCCTTAACCACTATGCCACCTGCCGGCCCCTGGTTTTGTTTTTAATTTCTAGACGGCACACGTACTTGCCAGAGTGAGAGAGAAACCCGAGCGGGGCGTGGCCACACCGCAGTCTTCGTCTCCCGTCCGCTGGGGTCTGGGGCACATACACACGGCCAGGGTGTTTTCCCAACCACCGAGGCCAGGATTCAAATCGCGGTCCGCCAAGTGGGATCTGGCTCCCCTAACCACCAGGCCACGGGGTCAGCCCAAGAAAGCTGCTTCTGGGAGGTTACCGGCATAGGATGCTCTAGAAGCAGAGCCACTCACCCTGGAAGCTGGGGAAGTAGGTGGCCAGGTGGGAGGTGGAGACCTTCTCCTCCAGGATGTCGGTCTTGTTGAGGAAGAGGATGACGGAGGTGCCCCTGAACCAGGGCAGTTCCAGGATGGTGCCAAACAGGGCCAGGCTCTCCTTCATGCGGTTCTGTGACAGGGCACACGCAGGTCACTGCTCCGAGGCCGCTCAGCCGCAGCACGCCCGCCCCCGCCAGCAGACAGGGACCCGAGAGGGCGTGCCATCCCTGCCGCCCAGCTCTGTGTGCTGACGTGGGAGCTGGCGACTGCCACTAGGCCGTGTGCTGGTCCCGGGGTGTGGGTTCTGAGGGCAGGGTGGAAGGCACGCAGGCGGGCGCGGGGCCGGCCGTCCCGTGCACAGAGCCCACGGCAGGCGGGCCGGCCTCACCTCCTGGCCGTCCTCCTCCAGGCACTGGTCGTACTCGCTGAGCGAGGCCAGGTAGATGAGCACTATCACGTTCTCGAAGCAGTGGATCCACTTCTTGCGCTCGGACTTCTGGCCCCCGACGTCCACGATCCTGCAGGGGACAGACGCGCCCTCGAGCTCAGGCCTCTCAGGACCCCGCTTGGCGCCACCGGGTCCCAGCCTCTCCTGGGATATGCCAAGATGGATGACAGGCAGCAGGGACACAGACGTGGGCCCGGACGGCGACACGGGGTGACACGCCATCCTCTGTGAGGCCGGCCCAGGCGAAGGTGCCAGTTCTTGCGCGGAGCCCACCCTGAGCACGCGTGGCCTGACCCGGCTGCTGAGGCTGGGGCTCGCACAGCCAGGACCCCGGCGGGGCTATCTCTGTCTCTGTCTCTCTCCCATCCAGGGAAGAAATAAACAAACTTTAAAGAAGGAGAACACAGGGGCCGCCAAGTGTCATGGTGGTTAAGGCACCGGACTCCCACATGGCTGACCACAGTTAGAGTCCCGGACCTGGTGGCTGGCTTTCTCACTTTCCCTTTCTAGACTTTGTGGCTGGCTCTCTCACTTTCCCTTTCTAGAAGGGATTATGGCGTGGCCATCCCCCCAGGGGGTGATTTCTTGCTTCCTGTCTGTCTCTCCCTGGTGAGTGCATGCACCCTATCTATAGCCAAAAATCTCTCCAAATCGTAATAATAATAATAAATAAAATAAGTAAATAATTCTTAAACAAATAAAGAGAGAGAATGCGAGTCCAGCAGGTGGCGTGGAGGTGAAGGCATTGGATCGCACATGCCTGCATCCGTGGTTCGAAGTCCTGGACACGTGTGCGTGTGTACCTAAAGTCCTGAGCGGAGGACAGAGGGGAGGAGACTGCAGTGTGGCCACCCTCCGTGGGGGTGGCTTCTCACTCTCCCTCTCTCTCCTCTGTCTCTCCTTGGTGAGTGCACACACCCTGCAGCAAAACTAAAAATAAAGAGATTGCAGCTGTTCCTCAACCTGCAGTGGGCGCTATGCTACACGCCTATCGTAAACGCGAAGTAGGGGGAGCCATGCCCTGCAGACCACCCTCCGCAAGGCCTGCTGAGGGACAGCGCACCTTCCCTCCCCTGCCCACGGCTGTAAGGACACCCCGTGCCCTGCAATGCCTGCCTCGCTTTCCCACCACCGGAAAGTCACAAGGCCAGTGTCCTAGTCCCTTGTAGATATTAATCTCACACCCACTTCACAGGGAGGAGCCCGAGGTTCTGGGAGGAGAAGGGACTCTCCCAGCCTCTATCGGGCCCACCTGCCGAGTACAGGACAGGGGTAGTGGGTCAGAGCTACCCCGGTCCACCCGGGTGCTGGTCTTGTCCTGGGACACGCGGCCTGGCTCCGAACTTGGCTGTGCTGTCACAGGATGGGCCTGTGCTCCGGCTGGCCCTGCCGAGGGGAGCGAGGGCTGTCCCCTCCTGCCGCCTGGGGAGGGCGCAGGCTCCACCCCCCACAACAGACCCAGCTCTCCCCTTCCTGCCCTCTCTTCTAAGAAAAGTGTCTCTGATAACAATCTGTCACTCCCCCACGTGACCCTATTCAGGAAATGCTAGAGCTGAAGCCTTGGACGGGCCTGGCCGGAGCCTCGCAGCCACAAAGCCTGGCCGCGGTGCAGGAGGGGACACTGAGGCTGGTGACCCAGCGCCGGGCTGCGGCTGGTGTCTGCATCTCCCGGTCCCGGGCTCCAGTCCCTCGCTGTCCTCAGAGCCCGTATATGGACAGGGGAGCTCGGGAGACAAGGGGACGGGGGGCGGCTGGCTTGGCATTTGGGGGTGTGGGCGTCGCCTCCCAGCTCAGGGTCTCCCGTCTCCTCTGAGCCCGCACTCCATTCCTCAGCCTCTCTCCTTGGCCCTAGAGCATTCCACGGCTTCCCTCCCTGAGAATCACCTCCTCCGCCCAGCCTGCCCTGCTGCTTCTCCAACAGCTAACTCCACCCACCCACCCATCCATCCACCATCCACCATCCACCATCCATCCACTCACCATCCCTCTGCCCTCCACCCACCTACCATCCACTGATCTATCCATCCACCACCCCCCCATCCACCATCCATCCACTCACCATCCCTCTGCCCTCCACCCACCTACCATCCACTGATCTATCCATCCACCACCCCCCCATCCACCATCCATCCACTCACCATCCCTCTGCCCTCCACCCACCTACCATCCACTGATCTATCCATCCACCACCCCCCCATCCACCATCCATCCACTCACCATCCCTCTGCCCTCCACCCACCTACCATCCACTGATCTATCCATCCACCATCCACCCACCCACCCATCCACCATCCATCCACCATCCACTACCCACATACCATCCACCCACCTAGCCACCATCCACCATCCACCATCTACCATCCATCCACTCACCGTCATCCGCCATCCACCCACCTACCATCCACTCATCTATCCACCCACCATCCATCCACCTATCCATCCATCCATCCACCTATCCATCCATCCATCCACCTATCCATCCATCCATCCACCTATCCATCCATCCATCCACCTATCCATCCATCCATCCACCTATCCATCCATCCATCCACCTATCCATCCATCCATCCACCTATCCATCCATCCATCCACCTATCCATCCATCCATCCACCTATCCATCCATCCATCCACCTATCCATCCATCCATCCACCATCCATCCACCGTCCACTACCCACATACCATCCACCCACCCACTCGTCCATCCACCCACCTACCATCCATCTATCCACTCATCCACCACCCACCTACCATCCACTCATCTATCCACCCACCATCCATCCACCTATCCACCGCCCACCTACCACTCACCCATCCACCCATCCACCCACCTATCCATCCATCCACCCATCCACCCACCATCCATCCATTCATCCATTCACCATCCATCATCCACCTATCCATCCATCCATCCACCCATCCATCCATCCATCCATCCACCAATTTTTTTTTCCTCCATCTATCCACCCCCCCATCTATCCACCCATCCACCCACTCACCATCCACCTACGCACCATCCACCTACCCACTCTCCCACCCATCCATCCACTCACCACCCACCCACCCACTCTATGCACCCACCTGCCCACTGGTACATCCATCCTCCGCCCTCTCCACCCCCAGCCACGGCTACCCCTGCCCCTCCAAGCCTGAGCTGACCACTGTAGCCTCAGCCCTTGCTCTGTGGGGCTCTCCTGGTGGAAAAGACCACCTCATCGGGACAGCCTCAGAGGACAGGGACTGCATCTGGAGGGTCCAGGGGAGCAGGGCCCCGACTCTGGGCACCGCCCTCCATAACGCCTGCCATCACCCCACAGGGAGGGGTCAGGCTACCCGGGACCTTCTCCCTGCCATGCCTGATCTTCACACTGGTCACCCCGCTCACTCGCACCTGTCCTCCAGCTCAGGCCTGTGTGCCCAGCCCACCAGCTCCACCCCGCATCATGATGGCGAGGCTTGGGGGTCCTCTTTACCTTCCTGCTCACATGCCCAGCTCACCCAGACCTGCCCACCCCATGTCAGAAGCGTTCTCGTCCCGACCCCTCACTTCTGTGTCCCCGGCCACAGACCTGGCCCTTACCAGCCCCTCCTGCCCAGACCAGGGCTCCTGTCTCTTCCAGAATCTCCTGACCTCCACCTCATCCCCTCTGGCCACCCCCTAGTATTGGTCATTATGGGGGTCACTCTCTGGGCTCCTCCCTCCCAGCAGCCCCTCAAAGGTTGGGATTAGTGAACTTCTATTCATCCTTCAATGCCCCAGTACCAATGTCCCCTCCTCCAGCAAGCACTCCCTTTCTGGAGCTCTGGTGCCGCATCCTGGGTTGTCCAGGTCTCAGCCCTGAGTAGGCAGAGAGGGGATCGGCTGGGGGGGTCTATGTCCAGCTTTGCCTCTGCAGGCCCTGCGGCCCCTTCCATGCGCTCCTACTCACGCCTGGGCCCCAGCTCGTTTGCCCAGGCGGTTCCGGGGCAGCCAGGCCGGCACTCACCGCAGGTTGGTCTTCTGCACGGAGAAGCAGTACTCGTTGATGCCGGTGGTGGGCATGCGGCTGCGGAGCACGTCCTGCGCCGTGGGGATGTAGCCCTCCGCCGTGATGCGCTCCAGGTGCGACAGGAAGCTGGGGACAAGGAGCCCTGAGCGAGCCGCAGCCACTCCACCCAGGCCCCGCCGGGAGGGGGAGAGCCCTCTGGGAGGGGCCAGCACTGGGGGCGGTGCGAGTGGCCGGGAGCTGCCCCGCCCCCCAGGGCAGAGCACCCACCATGAGAAGCACCCACACGCTGCGAGCACTGCGTGACCTCCAGAGCAACCTCAGTGGGGAGCCACATTACTGCCCAAGAACAGTGGCAGCCTGCAAAATCTCCCAGCCATCCAACCACCCCGGACCAGCGCTGCCA